GGTGGGAGGGAGGGAGGGAGGGAGGGAGGGAGGGAGGGGGAAGGACGGAAGGAAGGAAAGGAAGGAGGGAAGGAAGGGAAAGAGGGCAAACGAAGAAGCCCAAACAGCAGGAGCAATCACAGGAGGAGGAGGAGTAGGAGGAGGAAGAGGAGGAGGAGGAGGACAGTGAAGTACCTGTCTCGGTTTAAGCCCAACTGCAGCAAACTTCTCCTTCCATTCTGCTGGTGAAGAATCAGGAGCGGGCACCCTGTTAGCCGGATCTGCTTCTGTGGCATCTGTCCGTCCAAATGCCTTATTGAATTGACCCCACTGTAATGAAAAAGGTCATTAAAAAGAAGGGAACGAAAAAAAAAAGAAACTTAGCACAGAGTTCCGATAATGAGAGGATTTTGAAATAACAAAAAAAGTTAAACAATTTGTCAATATTTAGAAAGAAAGGGAATTCTTTATTTTCAATATAAGTCTATAAAGACTATAACCTTTTTTTTTTTTTTTCGTCTGTAAAATTCGTCGGAGTGTTTTACTCTCAACTGTTTCCCCAGCCAAGGGCCATAGTTGCAAGCTTCCCCTGAATTGCCCATAGGCCCATAGGGTCATTATGAAGGTTTGGGCATTGAACATATGCGCACAGGCATACCCTTACTTTACAGGCATACCACCACCGATCCCTACCGGGTAGTATGGCTGACCGGGACCGAGAAATTCTTGGCCCCTTCTGAAAATGACCAGTGACACTGAGTGGGAAGGGAATCATTTTGGATCCCGGTCCGGTGCTACCAGCAGCGTGTAATCCCTTTTAGGGGCGGAGGGGGCAGGGCGGGAGGTAATTCGGGTAGGTCATTAATGTATCTCAGAACCGGGGAAATCTGTTGACGATCTGCCGAAATAGCCCGCTGAACACTGAGAGGTGTGAAGCGAAATTCCACCCAGGGCCAGAAATGGTTTCACATTACCTGATTCTCTTCTCTCGTCCGCTGTCGTCAGAGGCACAGGCGGGGTCCAGTTCCTTATCGTGACTGGAAAAGCCCTTATAGCCGAGGTTGGATATTTTCAACAGATTCTGTTCATCAGATGTGAGAATGATTTCTGTGATCAGAGAGACCGATCCCTGCTGTCTCGATTAGGAAGTGCTCTGTCACTGGGTAAGTTTGGGGGCCATGAAGAGTCTACCCATGGGGCCTGTAGAAAAGAACGCTTACACCTACCAGCACACAAAGTACCTGCACGGCAGGGTTCATTCGAGGACGCGCTTCAACCAGGTCTGAGCGAGATGACACCAGAAATGGGACAAATTCTTCAAGCACATTGGACCCCAGAATGGGCCCACCAAAATTGACCCAATGATATATATAAGCACAAACAGCTACCGTCTTTACCCGAATAGAACGCCCGGTCATTATCGCTGCATCTGGGCTGAAAGTTGGGTCAAATGCAGCTATAATGACCGGGCGTTCTATTCGGGTGAAGACGGTAGTAAGCTACAAGGGAAGCAGACCAGAACCCTGGACACACAGGGTCTGGCCCTTCTGAGACAACTCCGTGGGGGTGAAGGCGGCGCACCTGCTACTCAAACTGGCATGGCAGTGGGGGAGACCGAACAAAGTAAGGAACAAGAATTAAATGTGAGGATTATCACTCACAGAACAATCTGTCAGCAGACTCTGCGCACTGTTGAGGGTTCAGCCTGATATGTGGCAGACTGATGACCCGGCGAAACTTGGGGAAACAAACTTCCACAACCCCCCCCGTTTCTTGTCCTTAAGCCGCCAGCCAGTACACGGCCCCAGCCTTGCTGAAAAAAAAACTCGTTGCCTATGAAATTTTTGGACGCCCAGCGCCGTCGATAAGATAAATAATAAATTGAATCGGCGGTTGTGCCTCTGTTTCACTGGTCAGTTGTCTGTGACAGTTTTTTTTTTTTTTTTTTTAACGGCTGTGACAGTATATAATATATATTGTCAGATAATCTCACATTTCTAATTAAGTAATTTCTTATCAGCTACAAGAACAGACTTTGCCGCCGCCTTATCTTTCTTGTTCTTCGCCCAGACGGAAAGGAAGCAAATTTGGCAGCTTCAGACAGCGGAAGCGCACCTGAGGGCATACTCACACTAGGGACCTTTTGCTCTAAGCTGTGGACGCAATTGCAGTCAGAATCTGTCAGATTCATCTGGGTCGGGCCGTGAATGCAGTCAGATACATTTAGAAAAGTCCTTGTGTGAGTATGCCCTGAGAGGAAAGGCAAATGGAAGGCAAGCTGACCGTCAATCCTCTGGTATCGGAGCAATCAATGCCGGTCAGGCATCCTTCGCCCAGACGGAAGGAAGCGTGAGGGTGGTGTTCATGATGTAAGATTTCATTCCGACTTGCCGGTGGAATAGGAACTGGACTAATTAAAAAAAAGAAAAAGAAAAAGGAATTGGAACCGGACTGCCGCAAAAAGTAACAAAAAACATAAAAAGGAACTGGACTGCCGCTCTCCAGAATGGATACGGAGCCAGGACCATAAGGACCTGTTTCAATCAAAAAAAAAAAAAAAAAAAAAAAAAAAAAGGAAGAAAGAACAGACTTTTTTTTTTTGTCCTTCGGGAGATCCGTTAAAATTGGAATGATATCCGAGAAGGGTGAATTAGCAAATGGCCCCTGCGCAAGGATGACACACATAAATCGAGAAATGAATCAAATGATCCAAATTGGCCATTAAAAAAAAAAAAAAAAGGAAAGAACAGACTTTGCCAAAAAATCATAAAAATGGCCAAAAGGACAGACAGCATGAACCACATTGAAATTGTGCGTTATCAAAATGAAGGCAAGAAAGGAAGGAGTGACTGACCTTCGGGACATCCGTAAAATTGGCGCGATACGGAGAAAGAAAATTAGCATGGCTGCTGCGCAAGGATGACATGCATAAATCGAGAAATGGTCCTTTTTTTTTTTCGTTTTTTTTTGGGAAAGGAATGAGTGGAAGGATGGAAAGGAAGGAAGCAAAGGAGAGAGCGGCGAGAAGACAGAGTACGTACTGAACGAAGGAGAGAGGAAGGAGCAACAAGGAGACAGAGAAGATGCAAAACAAAAAGGAGGAGAGAGGAAAAAGATTTAACAGAAACAATGACAACCAAGCAGGTAGGCAGGCAGCCAGACAGGAAGAGTGGACAGACGGACCGACCGGGCGACCGCTCGTCCGGCCAACCAACCGACCAACCAACCGACCAACCGACCGGCCCATACACTGGCCCACATGCCTGCCCGACCGACCACTGGCAGATGATCGACCTGACGATCCCCCCGCCTGCCTGACTGGCCAACCGTCCGAGGACAGACAGACATGGAAAAAGAAAATGGACACACATGACCCGATACCGCTAAACAGTACCATAGCAAACCTCCCTTTTTTCCTTTCTTTCCCCCCCCAAAGATACTGATAAACAGGTACCATCCATACCTGTGCCGAAGATCCAAAGGCTTGGTTAAGCTGCTTGCCTTTGCTGACATCTCCCCCAGCCTTGGCGATTGCTGCGTTGAGGAACATTTGCCTCACAGCTGCCTTGCCTGTACAAGAAACAAGGACGAAAACAACACGAAGAACAGAAAAGAAGTTTAAAGAACGAAACATACTTCCTTCCTCTGTTAGCTTCACACCTCTGAGTCCTCTCTTCCTCTCTTCTCTTTTTTTTTTCAACTCCTTTTTGTCTCTGTTGCAGTGAACCCAACTTCCTTGGGGCATCCGTTAAAATTGGGACGATACAGAGAAGATGGTAGGCATGGCCTCTGTACAAGGATGACATGCATAAGTCGATAAATGGGTTGGGTAACTTGGATGAAAAAAACAAAAAAAGTTTAAAAAACTTAAAAAAAAGAGAATCCAACTTCAGAAGCTCATGCTCAAATCTCGCATGGCATGAACTCACATATGAATCAGGCCGCAGTGCCTGGATCATATGACATTTGGCTGCCATTGTTTTAAAAAAAAAAAAAAAAAAAAAAAAAAAAAGCTCAAAGGACAAATGGAGACATCAAAGAACAAGGGCCCGCCAAACTACTCACGAAATGAAAAAAAAAAAAACAAAAAAAAAACGAGTGCATCTTCCTACAGCAGCTGGCAAGGTACAAGCGTTCCTATGAATAGTAATGGATGTATGTACCTTGCCAGCTTCTGTGGGAAGATGCACTCAGTTTTTTACTGTCGTTTCCGATGTTTCACGAGTGTGGTGTGGGTAGGGCCTAAGTGGACAGCATGGAGAAGAAGAGAAAAAGCATGAAAACTATCTCAACAATGAAAAAAAACAAGACTGAAATAACTTCTTCAAGTTTTTCTCCCTCTTCTTCCATGCCATGCAATTCCTTCTCGCCACCTCAGAGCATTACTCACACAAGGACTTTTTTTTTTCCGGCTCAGCTCTGGACGTGATTGCAGTCAGATGCATCCAGGTCTGGCCGTAATTGCAGTCAGATTCATTTAGAAAAGTGCTTGTGTGACTATGGCGGCATGGCCTCAATACATCATCGCGTAGCTTGTAAATCCCTTCAGACCTTCACCGCCAAGCCAACACCCAATATCACCTCCCCCAGTTGACTTCTCTACAGCGCTGGCCTATCCCAGCCCACCGTCTTCACCCAAATAGAACCCCCGATCAATATAGCTGCATTTGGGCCACCTTTCAGTCTAGATACAGCCATGGTAGCCTGGAATTGTTTTTCATACGGAGATGGTAGCGTCGGTGCCGTGCTCCAACTCGAAATGATAACGTCGTTCTCTGAAACATCACGGGGGTCTAGTCTTTAATTCTGACCCCATGGCTGGGCTACTGTCTTCACCTCAATAGAATGCCCCGTCATTATAGCTGTATTTGGCACAACTTTCGGTCCAGATGCACCGATAATGACCGGGCATTCTATTTGGGTGAAGACGGCAGCTATGGCGCCGTAAGGAAGGGCGCCATAGCCATAGCCATAGCTCCAAGATCATTGCCACCCTGAATCTACGGTGCCCTTCCTTGTGATCGCTTGGCTTCCGCATCACCAGTGCCACACTCTTACCGGTGGGAGGCCAGCGGCCATAGGTAACTGTAGAAGAAGACTCGCAGCAGAGAAGAGCCGCTCTCGCTCACCTGGTGGGAGTCTTCTTCTACAGAGAGCTATGGCCGCTGGCTGACAGGTAAGCTTCCTCACTCACCCTACTTCTTGCCGCTCTTCTATGATAGTTACCTCCTCCTTCCAGTCTCCACCTTAGACCATCCTCTGTACGGTGCCAGATGAACTCTAGTTCCCCACACCACCTCCGAGTCTCGGATGAAGAATGATCCGCCATAGCCAGTAAAGTGCTGATCCGCCAGCGCCAGTAGAGAATCTGGAACTACAGGCCTTCTCTGCAGCAGTTATGGCTGAAGTCTCCAGGATAGCTTCGTCTCTCACCCCCAAGCTGTGGACTTTACCTCACATCTCCCTTCTTCTCACCCTCACATCTATGGTAGATCAGCACCTCCTACTGGCTCTCTCTCTCTCTCTCTCTCTCTCTCTCTCTCTCTCTCTCTCTCTCTCTCTCTCTCTCTCTCTCTCTCTGTGTGTGTGTGTGTGTGTGTGTGTGTGTGCCTTCTTCCAGTGCTAGAACTTGAGCAGCAGTGCTCCCGCCGGCAAACAGTGCAAGGCACACTTAATGAATGCATGAATGAACTGTGGCAGGCCTTGGCTTGGCCCGGCCTGCCTCAGGTTGCCGCCTTGGATGGCTGAGGCTTCTCAATCCAAACAGCCGAGGTTTTGTTGCAGCCAGCGTGTGCCTGGACCCAGCAGGCCAATGCCGATGCTTCTGGAAACTGCACTGAGATCTGTGGCTGTGATCCGCTCCTGAGAAATCTTTGACAGTTTCAAAAGTTTTTGGACTTAATAGCATTTTTTGTCAAATGAAATGCCAAAATGTCAAGTCAAATTATTCTGCCTGAATTAGACTCTCTCTTTGACTTCTGTATCCAGGTTACATGGGACTTTTGGTTTTCCTAGGGCCTACTCTTTCACTTCGGGAGGCCCTCGATACCTCATTTGACCGTTCTGGAGGCCCTCCACACCTCATTTGACCCTTGACGCCAGGCCTACCACGCTACGGACTTCCCCTGGAGACTCCTCTGTCTGGTTATCCAGATTACGTGGGCCTACTCTTTGACTTATGGAGGCCCCTTTACACCTCATTTGACCCTTGACACTAGGCCTACCACGGTACGGACTACCCCCCCTGGTTATCCAGGTTACATGGGCCTACTCTTTCGCTTATGGAGGCCCCTTGAGGCCCCTTGAGACCTCATTTGACCTTGACACCAGGCGTACCATGCTAAGGACTGCCCCCCCTGGTTATCCAGGTTACATGGGCCTACTCTTTGACTTCTGCAGGCCCTCGACACCTCATTTGACCCTTGCCGCGAGGCCTACCACGCTAAGGACTTCCCCTGGCGACTTTTCAGAGACTGTAGGGGCATCTGCTGACGCCTGCACTTCAGCTTGGCCAAAGGCTACACACCCCTCAGACTTTGGCACTGCTGGACCCTTGGCTATCGGACATGCTGGGGTCTACCCCATGCTTTGACTCTGCAAGGTGACTGAAACACGGACTAGACCATGTTCTGCTCAACTGAGGGCCATTTTTTGACGGACTCTTGGCGTATTCATACTGGGACTTTCCTTGATATATATGGGGGTATTATGACCCCTTTTCCGACCAAGCCTGGATGCATCTGACCACGATTACATCCGCCGAGAAGTTGATAAGGTCCTAGTGTGAATACGCCTTCTGGGACGCCGCTTCACACCTGTTTCTTGCACACCCCCTTCACTCACACTCCATGTGCAAGTTTCACTGCCGGATCTGAAATCCAGGTCATGGCACTCTCTAGTCCTTGGGTGTGGTCATATTAGCCATGGGATGCAACAGGAGAATTAGGGGAGGTGCATGTATTGGGTCCGAGGTGGTATTTCAGACATGGAAGATTGAAGTTTCACTGTTTCACTGATGCTCTCCCTCTTCCGGATCATGGACAATCCAATGGCTGATGATTTAAGCATGAATTTGATGCTCCAGGCTAGGCTACCAGAGTGGCCCGGGACCACTTGCGCAGCCGGGCAAATAATAATAATAATAATAATAATAATAATAATAATATATATTAATAAATAAATAAAATATTTTTTCTAACTTTTCTATGTTAAATTTGGTAAAGAATTTCAATGTGACCCTGGGGCAAAAGTTGTTCAGTTTATTTTTTTGCATAACTTTTTTTTCAGAGTTTTTTTTTTTTTTTTTTTTTTTTTTTTGCTGGAACCTGCTTTGGCCCTTGCACAGCCGGGCCGCCCGGGCAAACAAGGTGACCCGGGCGGCCTGGCTGGTAGCCTAGGCTCCGGTTCTCTGGCTCCTTTTTTTTTTTTTTAAAAAATAAATGAATTTGATTTTCTGGAGTAAAATTTTTAAAAAGAAATGGTTTAAATTATAAAAAATTAAAAAGTTAAAAAAAAAAAAAATTTAACAAACAAACAATTACACACAAAAAAAAAAAAAAAAAAAAAAAAAAGATACTTAAAAGAGAATGGTAATGATAATACCTGCCACAGTCTCCTCCTTTGTAGGTAGGTGGGATCCAATACCCCAGTAGCCAATGAACATTGTATTCCTCGCAACGATAAGTAAATTATTTGAATTAATGAATTTCTTGCATTTATTTTATCACAGACTTTATGGTGGTATTAAATTACTATTGATGCTTTTATTAATCTCTTTATTTTATTAATGATTTTCATAGCTTTAATAGTATAATAATATAGTATAGAGAAGAAAAGTAAATTATTACCAGCAAACTGGATGAGGTCAGCCCAGGCAACAGGACCTCCCTTCTTCCCAGCATCAAATGCCTCTTTCAATGTCCCGAGCGCTGCGACGGCCTTCTCTAATCCTGCATTCTCAGGGCGTGCAAGTTCGTCGCTGATTGTGTACATCCAGGAAAACAGAAACAACAAATGGAAAGAAAAGTTTAAGAAACATGTTTAAGCATACATCATCTAATTACATAATATATATGTCAATTATCTATAGATCCTATATTATATATTGTCACAAAAATATCAGAGTGCAAAAGCGGAAAAAAAAAAACAGAAAGAAAACAAGGAAAAAGTGAATTCGTTTCATTATCTTCTTCCTTACAACTCCCCCTGTTCAGAACCTCTTGCGTACAAGGCCGCCCACGTGGATGTAGGTTGAGCGGCGGCTGCCCCCACCCCCTTGTGTCATATCGACCCACTTGCACACAGCCAAAAGGCAAAGAGGCAAGGAAAAGAGGAAGAGAACAGCCAAACAACAAAAAAACAGGGGGCAACAGGATCCTAGATGACAAGTCCCACATGTAAGCACCACCTCCAACATCACAGGCCAAACGACTGGACAAGACCAACCAGGATATCAAAACACTCTTGCCTGCAGAAAAAAGAAATCCCAAATACATATCTATATACAGCAGATGGCCTTCTTCGTCATCAAGATCTTTGTATTCCTATTCCTAAACTAACACCGCTAGGGGCGTGTTTCTTCAAAAAAAAAAAAAAAAAAAAAAAAAAAAAAAAAACATTCATGCTCTCCAGCCTCAACGTCATATACGCTGGTCTAAACTGAATACTGGAACACCATCAACATTAAAAAACATTAAAGACAATCCCAGATGACGATTCCCACCTAAAAGCTCCGCCTAGCCCCAATCGTCATCATCAAATAGAAATGATGCCGGTGAACCGTAGTAGGCAGAGAGGGAGGGAGGGAGACGAGGACAACAAACTAGGGGCTGTGACAGACTGTTTCGTAAGAGTTTCCCCGACTGGTCAGAAGACTCCTTTCTTCTAGAACTAGTATTACCACGTTACTACGCCGCTGCTGCTGATCAATTTTCCCATACCGCCTCTCTCCCAACTATATCGTCATAGGAGTTCACGAGGTCGCTACGGTCTTCACCCGAATAGAACGCCCGGTCATTAAAGCTGCATTTGGCGCAACTTGCAGTCCAGATGCAGCGATAATGACCAAGGAATAGACGGGCTAACCAAGGGGGGTCTTGTTGTTGTTGTTCATTTGTTTCAGTGCAAAATGTGGCTCTTCCAAAGTCAATGGCACATGCAGTGCTTCGGCCTGTTCCGGTGAGGTTGGTCAATGTAGGTGCTGTAGCATATTGTCTCTGCCTCTTGTCTCTGGCTTCTTTGATGTGGGATGGGGGTGGAGATGGTGTCATTGCTTGGTATAGCTACTCATAGAAGGACTTGGTTACTTGTGACATTTCTTTCGCTATCCTAACCGACCACTGTAGGATTGTTGCAATCTGTCAGGGCCTCCATTGCGTTGGATCTGATTTTTTGACTTTTTTTGCATTTAATTTCGGCAAAGACGTATAATTTACCTAGGCTACCAGAGTGCTATGGGACCACTTGCCTGGCCGGGCCAAAAAAAAAAAAAAAAGAAAAAAAGTCAAGAATTTTGATGTGACCCTGAGGCAAAAGTTGTTCAGTGTCCTTCGGGACATCCGTTAAAATTGGAACGATACAGAAAAGATTAGCATGGCCCCTGCGCACGGATGACACGCATTAAAAAAAAAAAAAAAGAGTTCAGTTTATTTTTCTGCATAACATGTTTTTTTTTTTCGGTTTTATTATTATTATTATTTTATTTTTTTTGCTGGGACTGGGGCAGCCCGGCTGGTAGCCTTCGGTATTTACTATTTAGTATTTAGTCATTGACTCATTTAGTTCGCAGTCTGTGATTCTGGCTTCGAATTAAAGCACAGCGTTGATTCTTGTCGCTTTGGTTTCTACCTTTTTATGGCTTCGCTTGTCAAAGTTTCGGTTGTTAACTTTTTACGGCTTCACTTTATCGCTTTGGTTTCAAACTTTTTACGGCTTTTGTTTTCACAACTTCAGTGTTTACAGCTTTGGTCGTTACAACAGTTTTCGGTTATAACATACAGACACTTATTATTGAGTGGTTTCATGCCAGCTTCAACGATGTTTGTACAATAGCCGAGATGCGGTCATCAAGAACACAGCAAGGCGGATGACATCAACAATAAATGATGGCTGCAAGATAACACACAAAGAAGATGATGAAGACAAAGAAAAGAGTGTGTACCGGCATCGAAATACCTGAAGCGAATACTGCCATTGGCTCCCCCAGTTTTCGATGCCTGCAAAATTGTGCAGATACCACCGTCAAGACACATCACAAAGGTTTTCAGCTTCTTCCTTTTCAGCCACACACGTCGGCAGCAGATCAACGGCAACAACAACAACAACAACAACAACAACAACAACAACAACAACAACAACAACAGGAGGGATCGAAGATAGACCAACTGGGATTTGTGAGCCACGTAACCGGGCGCTGCGGGGGAGAGTAGGACCTAAAAGTGCAATCTGACTTAGAGCTCAGGGCGATCGATCAGCACTCTAATCAGGATTTTTGAAGATAAGCGCGTCACTTAGATTCTGCCCCTCCAATATCAACAATCCCCATATGGCCCTTTACTGGGAGAAAAACTCCCAGGCCACCCTAGACAGGCCATGATTGTCTCCATCATCGTTCTTCGAAAGATAGTCTACCAGAACACTTCCTAAATTTTGGAGGGCTTAGAGCGCTTAAAAAACTACCAGTACGTCTGAGCCTCTTTTCCCAATGCCATTTTTTTCACCATGGGCGAAGTTTTGCCAAACCGCCGAGGATGCGAAATCGCGTCTCTCCCTGATCGGCACTCCCAGCCTTTTCCGTCTGGTAGGTCGAGCCCCGAAGGACGTAACATGTTAACCATCGTGTCAGAACAACATAGCTGGGGAAGACATACTGTGGTGATTTAATGGCCACAAAACCATCTTGTGTCAGAGGTAGCAAAGATCGATCACGTTCTTATTGCGACCATTGTCTCCGGAATGGGACGCATATGAAGACCCTTTCATCTTTGCAGCCTTGACACCAAATTGTCTTTAAAAGCAATACCAGGCAGTGGCAGGCAGTGGCCTGATGGGGGACCCAGTGCTGTGCGTTGACTGAACCCCGTAAGACTCCGACCGCCTCATCTCGCTGTGTTTCCAATTGACCGCGGAGTCCACTTGAGGAGGGAGGTTGTCCAGGTGTAACCACCAAACTTTTGGCTTGGTAATACTTCGTACGGTACTAGGGTGGTACCCCAATTCACAAGCATGTAACCACCAACCTTCTGTCTTAGTACCCCAATTCGCCATCATCATGTAACCGCCAACCTTATGTCTTGGTACCCCAATTCACAATCATGTAGCCACCAACCTTCTGTCTTGGTACCCCAATTCACAATTGTGTCCGCTGTTACACTGCAGAGAACGGGTGTCGTCTTTTCGTCAAATTTTGACATCGAGGGCTCATCCGCAAGAAGAGAACGATGAGGTCATCCGCAATCACAGTGAACATACTTGCCAACGATGGATCCCTTACTCAGGGCAACTCACACTGGGGCTTTTTCAACTGAACTCTGGCCAGAATTGCGGTGAGATACATCAGTGGGGGGGCGTATTTGCGGCCTGATACATCAAGGCAAGTGCCTAGGTGAGCATGCTCTCGAGTATGTTCAGGGGCTGGATCATGCAAGTAGTGCCTATATTAGTATATTACCACTACAAGCAGAACCAGGGCAATAGGGTCCCCATGCGGTACCGATTGTTGAAGAGGGATGGGGAGGGGGCAGGTGGTCGTTGACCATGATATTAGCTGTAAGTTATTATGCACACGGTTGCTACCAAATGACCAAATTTTGGTCCAAAACTTTGTCACTGGGCTGCTACCCAGTGACAAACGCCTACCGTCTTCACCCGAATAGAACGCTCGGTCATTATAGCCGTATTCCGTGCAATTTCCAGCCCAGATGCAGCGATAACGGCCGGGCGTTCTCTTCGGGTGAAGACGGTAGTCAACATGGTCTTATGCCTTCTCAAAGTCAATAAAGATAATGGTGGTTTCTAGGTTTCTTTGTCTCGCATACCTTCTGGCTTCATTAACTGGTAACCCCTAATTTCATAACGCACAACATATGCTTTGCTAGTGTATTTCGCCGCAATTTTGCCGGCTTCATTAACTAGTACAATATTGTCATATATGTTACGGCTAGGCATAAACCCGCACTGATCGGGATGGATTAGGAAGGTAACCCCTCTTTTTTTTTTTTTTTTTTTTTTTTTTTTTTTCCCATATCGAATTATACAGATCATTGAGAACATTTGAGGTCGTTTGAGGTCATTTGAGATACCGGGGCCATTACCCGGCTTCGGCTGAGAACAATCTGTGAACACGATGAGATTCAGAAACATGGGGAGGATCCTAACCCCTCATTTCACAAGGTGCAATATACGCTTTGCCAGTGCATTTGGCATGATTTTGCAAGGGACCGTTAGAAGAGGGATAGGGTGGTAATTCCTTATATCATGTTTCTTCCCCCTTGTATGTGAGGTAGTAGGTAACCCCTTGCTTGAACAAAGCTCTCAAAGAGCTTTCCTCGTGGACGGCTGTCACAAACTGCTGAAAATCAACAACAACCAAGCTTCAAAATTGTAGCCAGAATTCCTTTGAGAATGAGTCTTTGCCCTGGTGTCCTATCACCCATCCATGTCTGCCAACGCCTCATATAGCTCAGCTGCGAAATGGATGGGATGTTTAAGATGGGCTATAGTAATCATTCTTGCCAGGGCGAACGCATTCCAAAGCTTTTCGGAATCTCTCTTTGTTCTGTCGCGATTCTGTTGGGCATGCTCCGTCTGGTGGGCTTCCCATATTCAAGTTTGTGAGGTGAATAATCCGCTATAGCACAGGCATTAGTAGCCGCATCAGGCAGCTGGGAATGGAAGAAGTGTTTAAGCTAGGCAACATTAGTCATTCTTGTCCAGGAACGTAGCTCAGTGGGTAGAACACCGGTGTCGAAATGCGCATTGTGGACCGAGGTTAAGGGTCCGAACCTTCGAGCCCTCAACTCCGCCCATAAAGCCAGGGGGCGTTGACCGATGCAGGCCAGGGACATCTTTTTTTTTTTTTTTTTTTTTTTTTTTACAAAACACCCCCCGCAGTGCTAGTGCTGCTGGTAAAAGCAGACGGCACTAGCACCCGGGGAGAGACTTCATCTATTGGTGGGGAGCATCACCTGCTGGAAAACGGGTCCAGCGTCCCTTATACACAGCACGAATCAGGCACATGTCAGGAGATATAACTGAGAAAGACTGAGAAAGACCCCTGCCAGAAGGAACCTCTTCACCCTATGACAGGCGCCAGATATACTGCTGCTATACACTGGTTCCTTCCCCACCCTGCCGTCTCAGCCCCCTTGACATTCCAAACACCCTTTGTCCGTTTCTACTCCTGGCCAAACCATTGTAATTCTGCTATTGCTGTGGCTGCCAGGGGAAACATATCTGGAAACTCCCCGGGGCTCTTTATCGGAATGTTGGGGTCGACCTGCAGCCAATCCTTGAATCTGAGGTTGTAGTCCTTGGTGAAGTCACCACCGCCTCCCTCATCCCCCTGCTCCCCAGGCCATTCGACCTGTGCCAGCCTGCCACCCCTGTCCCCCCCCAGCCAATCTGCACAGAATGCTTGTATTTCCTTGATAATATCTGCTTTCTGTGTGAAGTGTTCCATTTTGCCTTGAACCTTGTTCCATTGTGACATCTTAGGGTAAGCAAGCGGTCTTATGCTCAGTGGTGGAGCACCGGTGCCATGTCGTGTGCACAGGGGGTATATACTCGGACTAGAACTGCGGGATCCAGCCATCAAAAGCTGCCACATTGATGCCGTCCCCCACGAGGGAGGGCGTCGACCGACATGGCCACTTGTACGCCCCCCTTGGGCTGTGCGGGGAGGGGTGAACTCGGTTGGGGAGAGTTGCGGGGGGGATGCCAGGATGCACTACTCTCCTAGCAGGACTACAGTAGTCCCCTTCGGTGACAGGTAACAGGGTTCCAGTTCCGGCCTCCTGGCAGGTCACCTTGGGGGGGACCCCCCGAGCCTGAGTTAGAGAGTGGCACACCCTGTTGCTGGCGTCCGGGAAGCACTGATCTCGGGTGATACCCCCGCGCGTCTGGTCAAGGCTGTGGGCTCTGGCTTGAGAGTCCTCTGGATGTGCGTGGGTTCACTGTGCCATCAGGTAAGCTGAGCTTGGTCCGTCCGCCTCCTGATGGACATCCTCTCCCAGCACTGTACGCAACACCCCTCATAACTTTTAAGAAACATTAGTCATTCTTGCCCTGGCGTTGTTCTAACAAAAACGAAACCATACCCGCTACCGCCAACGGCTGCTGAAGACTCTCTCTCTCTCTCTCTCTCTCTCTCTCTCTCTCTCTCTCTCTCTCTCTCTCTCTCTCTCTCTCTCTCTCTCTCTCTCTCTTTGTGGTTGACGGAGCGTGATAAAAATCTCACACTGAAGCGCTGAGTGGCGCGATTGTTTGTGCCACCCAGCATGGTGCAGCATGACGCAACTGCCTTTGCACCACGTGTTGCCGTGTGGTGAAAATCTTTTTGGCCTCTCGGAATGGGGCCACACCACCAACCAAGCACCCCAGGAACCGGGACCCACCGCTTACAGTGAGCTCGGTCGGGGCATCTTCCAAGAACCTCTTTTTCCCTTATACTAGTTTATAACTTTATACTAGTTTATAGTATATAATGTATATATTATATAGTGAATAGATAGTGGAAATTTGGAAAATGGTGCATTAGCTTGGCTGTCAAGATCATTAAAAAAAAAAAAAAAAAAAAAAAAAACCTGCTACAGACGATCTCTCACTTCCTAAACTTCATGGAAACTTTGCATGTCTGTAGGGTTCATCGTTTTCGTGGTTCCGTTTCTTAAAACTTTTTATACCTTGCATTTCCCTTTTGTCTCTTTTAATTCGTAGTTGTTTGTTGATTTGCTCAAATTTGCTTCTGTTATGCATGCCAATGGCAGCGTAATCCGCAGGCACATCTGTATCTGAACAGAGATTGTGGGTCTATGCAGAGTCTGCAGACACACCCTTCTACAAGAGCAACAACAACCTCAGGTGCGCGGGGCCCGAAAAACCTCTTTACGCCAACGTCGCCAAGTGGATCATGCTGTTGCATGCTTCAGCGCTAGAATTGTCATCAATGTATTTGAAATTTGACTTGATGATTGATCTATGAAACTTCGGTGCAAGT